TTCGAAATTTGCTTTGCACCTTCGAAGTGAAAAAGATGATGCAAGAGTGAGCGTCGCTTGATCCCGCTTTGAAACAAATGGCTAGGGATTGGTACTAATAGATTCCTTTACCTTCTTAGGTGGTTGCGAGACAATAACGCTATGACAGTACGAGATAACCGCACGGATTTCCAAAGTTAATCGGGGATGGAATTGCTAGCACGTCGAATTAAGATTAGGTGGCTTCACCAACTAGGGCACGTTTTGCGCATGCTTAGCTGTCGTTAGCTGCACCATGCCTTATTTGTAGCCGCTCCGGGTTGAAGGAAACCCTTGAAGATCAANGTGGAGACTAGGCAGGCCGGGGTCTAAATCCTGTAGCTGACTGGAGGCACCGAAGGATATGGCAACTAATCAACAGTAGTGACGCTCTTGTCATTGTTCATCATCTCAGTCAGGTATCTGAGTTAGGTATGAACCGCTAGATTATGCGCTGTGTTGACCGCAGAAGTTCACTATATTCCCTCATCTTTTCAAACAAGTTTGAGTTCAGACTGTCAAACAAATCTTGGTACAATAATCCCTACACAAGGAAAAAAAGGCATATGAGGTACTTGAGGACACGATACCGCTAGGTTACCCAGGTCAAGCAAGCGAATTTTTTCAAGGAATTCATAATCGGAGTCTTCCGATATATGGGATGCTAAGACAACGAGGAAAGGCAATTCTTGCGCGAGTTCACTTACGTAAAAGCGTGTACATTTGCCAGGAACAGGAGCAAAAATGATGAAACTTATGTACGCTTTATGCTTAGGCTTCAGCAACAAAAACAAGTTTTTATATCACTTGAAGGAATTCAAGAGCACGATCTGATGAGCACTCATTTCACGACAAGAATCTTTTGACTCGTGGTTTCAGAAGGCAATACATAATAGACCCCATTCAGTAACAATGCAACCTTTAATGCACATAGCTCCGATTCGCGAAGCCGCGTTTCGGTTTCCTCGCTCACGTCCTCCGCTCGCTGAAAACATGCAATCATCACCCTCACCAATACTCGCGGACTGAACCACAATATTGATTTTGTACACCACTTTCTCCATTCTCCGCCCGTTCTTTTTTTGACCGAAACACAAATCTCCTCGTCAAAACCACCCATCTTCAATTCCCCAACTACATTCTCCATTCCTCCTTTCTACCCACAACCGGTGTCTGCGTCGCCTCCTCCAGGATCCCAAATTTTGACTTTTTTAATCGTGAATTTCAGCTCATGTGGCTGAAACTCCAACTTCCTTCCTTTAATCATTACTATATATGCATCGTTCCCACAATAGTCGCGATTCTTTTATCTTTGATTTTTTATCTTCGAACATTGGACACTTTGCAAACAACCTTAACTGCCATGTTAGCATCTTAGGAGATTTTGACGTTCACAATTAGGATTGGGTGACACATTCAGTTGCTACTTCTTTGGGGCGTGAAGTCGAACGCTTCGCTTTGATCAGTTCGCAGCCAACTCCACCTTATCCCATTTTTCTACACCTTCACCTTCTTCACTGGCAATCCATTTCTACTTCATATTAGCAACAGGAAAATCTGTCAAAGGTTGGGCTCTACAAACGCAACCAAGTCACCCGGTCCGGACGGTATTACAACCATCTTCCTTAAAATGTGTGCTCCTGAGCTGACTCCTATTTTACGGCAGTCTTCCCCCAACTTTCTACCTTTCCAACTACCTGGAAACACGTGATTTTTCCCATTCCCAGGCGCGACAACCTTTCTGACCCCAACAATTACCGACCCAATTCCATCAAATCTGTTCTTCCGAAAGTATTTGAAACTATCATCTCTGACCAGCTACACACGCCTTCTGAACTTGAAGGACCACTGAGCTTCCAACAGCGTCGTTCTACCGGTGACCTGCAGGCTCTTGTCTCACAATCCTCGTCAGCTGTACCCGATAACCACAGAAACACATTTCCTCTCGCTTGACATCTCTAAGCCCTTCGGCCGAGTTTGGCACGAAGGTCTACTGGCGAAACTACCCATTTCCGGGTTCCCTTCAGCACTCGTAGCGTGGATATCAAGTTTCCACAGTAAGCGAACCATCTCCGTCTGATTTGATGGGGTTCTATCTCAGCCATTCCGTGAATGCCGGTATTCCCCAAGGTTCAGCACTTGCGCCAACCCTCTTTCTTCTATTCACCAATGATCTCCTTTCCAAAATTGTCAACCCGATCCGTTCTTTTGCTGGTGACACCCTTCACTGCTCCCTCTCCTACCGCACTGCTTGCCATACCCAAACCAAAATCGATGGGGACCGTAGTGCAGTATTGTGTCACTGGACTGCGATCACGAAAACATCTCCTGGGGCATTGCAAACCACATTTCATTAAATAGTTCTAAAACCTGTCTTCTAGTTTCTTTAAAACACCAAACACCCCCCCTTCCCCAGTTATTTTTTAATTTCACCCAACTGCGTTCCATAGACTTGGTTTCCCACCTTGGATTGCCTATAATTTCTTCTTTATGCTCGTCCGCTTTAATAACTAAGCTTTCTTTTCGTGCTGCGCCCAGGGCTGTATTTCTATTTAGCGCAAGACGTTTCTATTTCATCCCAGCTCAGCTTCAATTGTACGAAGCTCAAATCTGCCCTGCTTCTGAACATTGTAGTCACGTGTGGAGTGGGGCTTCGTGTTTCACTTTTC